ATAAATCCAATCTCCTCTTCTTCTGTTGAGTCTGTTGGGTCTTGCAAGTAAGGCTGTCCAGGTCCTCCCCGTGAACTCTGTGGCTCAGTAGTGATTTTGTACACGAGAGGCATATATATACAAGTTGAAAGGACTTAGGAGGGGCTGTAGCTCAGTGGCAGAGCGTGTATTTTGCATGCAGAAGGCCCCAACCCCATTCTGCAAGCACCTCTGCTTAAATTTGCCTAGAGAGCAGAGAATGGGAAAGACCTTTGCCAAAGGTCTTGGAGGAGCCTCGGCCAGTGCAGGGGAACCAATGCTGGGACTAGGTGGGTCTGGTTCTGTATAGGGAGGATGAAAAGTTGCAAAGAGTCGGGTTGGGGGAAAGGAAGATTTCACACACAGAGGAAGAGAGTTAGGTGTTGGGGCTGGACAGGAGCCCAGGAGATGCTGATAAAGAGCAAGGTGGCTGAAGGTAGAAGAATCAAAGAAAATTTGATGGAGAGAGAGTGATGGATGGTGGTGGTGGTGGGGAAGGAGGGTGGATGAGCCAGGGATATGTTGGCCCAAAAAGGTGGTGGTGGGGACCAGAAGGAAAACTTCAGAAAGAGCCTAAAGTCAGGCTAGTGTGCGTAATGCTTCTTGGAGAGGGGCTACAAGGCCACAGCTGAAGTGGCTGGTTCCTTGCCTCCATCAACGCAATTTGGGGACAATGAGAGATGGAAAGATCTTGTCAGACTGATCTGCCCAGCTGTATCTGCTGTGGGAAGAGGAACCTGCGCCCAGGAGAACTGACACTCTTGCCTTTTCTTCATAAAGGTCACAAGGGAAACAAGCTTACCTCCCTGGGAGCTACAAGAACCAGCTATTCCTATCTGTAGTTTTGTTTCTTCAGATGACTGCCTTTGTACTGTCGGATTGCCTGGTGCCTTCTGGGATCACTGTTGCATTTGAAGTTTTATGCTGAGTTCTTACTTGCATCTCTGTGATATGTGATGCTTCTAAGCACCCCGCAGAAAAATCCTTTTAATCTGAAGTGCTGTTCTGTATTATTAATCTAAGCTTCAGAATGTATTCTTCGAAACATCACATCAATGCAATCTGTCACATGCAGGATCGTATTTTCTGCTAATTTGCAGAGCTGTCTTTTAAAAATGCCATCTGGAACAGGTTGCAGTTAGCTGTGTTGGTCCAAACTAGTATCTACTAACAAAAGTAATGGAATACTTTTGCTAGTAGATCTGGTTTGGAGCAACACAGCTAACTGCAACCTGTTCCAGATTACTTTTGTTTAAGTGCAATGTAATAGGCCTGACCTAGATAGCCCAGGCTAGCCCGACCTTGTCAGATCGCGGAAGCTAAGCAGGGTCAGCCCTGGTTAGTATTTGGAAGGGCGACATCCAAGGAATACCAGGGTCGTGACGTAGAGCCAAGCAATGGCACACCACCTCTGAAACGTCTCTTGCCTTAAAAACAAATCTAGCTCACCACCTAGTGGAGCATAATGCTAAAGAGCTAGAACTTCTGGCTGCCAAACAATCTTAGGATCTCCTGGTTTTACTACACACAATGCCATACGATAATAACAGTAACGCAATACATTGTATTATATTGTATATTAAGACCCACCAAAATAAAACATGATGCAGACTTTTGAGTTTTGCAGAACTCTGTGGCAGGGAAGACAAGCCTGATGACAAACCCTGGAGAACTTGAAATTTTTACATCTGTTAAGTGTTCATCAATTCGTTTTTGTAGGTATCATTCTCTCATTCTATCTTAGGTGCTTGTGTTTTGTTATATATTCTCTCATTGACAGTCTGTGTGTTCAAAGTGCCCATACATGGAACAATCTGTGCATTGTTTGAGTGTGACACTATTGTAATCATACACCACCCGGAGCTGGGTGGGTATGATAGCAAAATACCCAGCGATGAGTGGATCTAGCCCCAAGTTTTGATTTATACAAAGTCAACCCTTGCCCATCTCAGTGCCCTCTGCCAGTGGAACAGAGTGCCTTGGGATGTGAGAGGCTGGATGGCTGTCAGGGGAAGCTGTAGTTGTGTATTCCCGCACTAAGCAGAGGGGTTGGACTGGAAGCCATGCTCCCTCTAAGCTGAGGAGTCTTTTGAGTAAAAATCCTACTTTGTGAGCTACTGGCATCAAAGTTGTAAGCGAGCGATTTGGCTGCTGCATAAATCAGTTTGCGCCGGAGCCATCCTTCCTGAGCTAAGACAGAAATGTGTGAGCTGGAGGCTAGAAAACCGTGAGCTAGCTCACACTAACTCATCTTAGAGGGAACACTGACGGGAAGACCTCCAAAGTCTCTTCCAGTTCTAATTCTATACTGGCAATGGCCCTCCAAGTTCTTTCTCAGCCCTAATACCTGATACCATTTACCTGGGGATGCTACAGATTGACCTGGGACATAAAGCATGTGTTGTACCACTGGGCCGCCCTCATGAAGGGAGTAGGGCTTCCAGTCACTTAGGCTGTTTTATCCATCTTCAAATCCTGTGGTGACTTCAAGGAGTGATTACTTTATTTAAGATCCTCATACTCTGTTTGTTTCCTCAATACAGACCCAAAATATTCTTCCCCCTCCTCCATTTTATCCTCACAAACAATAACTCTGCGGGAGACTAGGCTGAGAGAGAGAAATTGCCTCAACGTTATCCGGCATGTTTCCATGGCAGGGTGGCAGTGACAACTGAACCATTCCACCACACCAGTTTTACATCCATAAGCTACCTGTCTGGACACTTGTTCTTTCAAAGAAGTCACTGGGCCTATCAAGCCAAGAGTTTGGAACAATGAAAGCACGATAACCTATAAGACGATAAAAGCCTGAAGCAATGAAATACTGTAGTTTAAGCATGAAATGAAGTAAAACATTTTCACTTTGTATTAAAACACTGGTAAAGAAAAGCTAAGGTGCAAAATAGTCACTGTGTACACTGGGGAATTAGCATTTAGGTTCCCAGGCACATAGATGCCATTATTTAGAGAAATGTGTCTTTATGGGTCTTCGACAGAGGGGGGGAAACAACAACTACTAATTGGTGTAGCAATTACATTTGCAGCATGAAACCATCAATCACACCTGTTCCTGACATGGGAAGAGATGGGTGATATATGTAATTGGCATTTTTTTCATCTAGTTGTTCTAGGTGTGTGGCGTAGCCTCCAGGCCTGGACAAAAATGCCCTGTTCCTTTAATACAGGGTTAAAGTGTGGAAATAGGCAGTTGGAACCATTCATGGCATGGATGTAAATATAATCTCACCTGGTAACGTCCTATTATGCCTCTCTTTTAAAGGGAGAGGACATTTTTACCCCTCCAGGCATGTTGGTAACCCTATTGGTCTGCTATTATTAGTAGATATTGACAGGTAATAGCTCCAGCCCACAAAAGTTTCACCTGCCAACTTCTGCCTTGTCAAAAGCAAACCTACAGTGGCTCCTTGGAAGTTGTGTGTTTCAGGTTACATTGTCAACTTTTGCTTGGACAATTTGTGGAACTTGGGGGTAACACCTGGGGTATGGTTGAGTTTGGGGAAAGGAGGGAGCTCAGCAAAGATCTGATGTCATTCCAGGACTTGTGTCTTATAGATTCCATGGCATATCATAGAATCTGCTCTCCAAAGTCGCCATTTCCTTCATGGGAGTTGATCTCTGCAGTCTGGAGATCCATTATAATTGTAGGAAAACTCCAGGACCCTTCTGGAGGTTCCCTAGTCCCAGGGGTATGATGTGAAGGACAAAATAAACCTGGTTGTGCTCCATTTGGTCATCCAGCAACCTGTGCACTGTGTAGCAATATGCAGACATAAAACTGCTTGGATTCTGGAGGACAAGAATCATGCCTTCGGAACGAGTTTATGGTCCGAAGACGCATGATGCAGCAGCTTTACTGGAGCTAAACAGGACCTGGAGTTCAGTCCTGTACTACATTATCTCAGTCCAATCCCATTGACTGGAGTTAACTTTGCATAGCATTGCATCGTAGGGGTCCTCAGTGTCTGAACGGCAGACTTCCTAGGAATCCCATTTTCAGAGTGGAAGAAAGGTGGAGTATGAGTACAATAAAAATAAATAAGGACATTATTGTAACACAGCAAAGTGTTCCTGGACAGGTGGAAATTCTTACAGTAAAAGTGAAGCAATGCGGAAACAAGCATTCCTGGCATTAACCATTCTAGAAAGTCTTGGGTCTCTCCACCCCTTTACAGGTGTTAACTAGTGAACAGCCTGTAATGTATCCAGTCCAGACCGTGTGGCCGGCTTGGGCTCCACACGGTCAGACACAAACGTCGAGCTTCACTCCAAGAGACAATGGACTATGCGGATCCTAGCCCTGAATACAATAAAAATAAATAAGGACATTATTGTAAAACAGCAAAGTGTTCCTGGACAGGTGGAAATTCTTACAGTAAAAGTGAAGCGATGCGGAAACGAGCATTCCTGGCATTAACAATTCTAGAAAGTCTTGGGTCTCTCCAACTAGTGAACAGCCTCTGTATTTTTTCCCCCTTGATCAGATTTGAATTTTACACATTCATTTGATTCTGCACTTCCCCTTGACCCTGTTGTAAAATTTGGGGTTTCACCCCATAACTTTACCCCCCCCCCAAAAAAAAAAACCTTAGCGCCAATGCTCCCTCTAAACTGTGGAGTCTTGTGAGCAAAAATTCTACTTCGTGAGCTACTGCCATGAACGTTGTGAGCAACGTCTGCTCTGGAGCCCTCCTTCCTGAAAGAAGACAAAAATGTGTGAGCCGGAAGCTAAAAAAGGATGAGCTAGCTCACACTAACTCGGCTTTGAGGGAACACTGCTCAGCGTCTCTCGAATTTCTGCTGGAATAAAACGTTCGCCCTTTAATAAAACCACAAGCTCTTTTCGCCGTCCTGTGGCGCTGCCGTCTTTAGGACCCTGGGGGAGCTGACACGTGGGAGATCGCCAGTCTCCGTAGCACAAGGAAGAGAAACTGGCGCCGTCGTTTCGACGCAGACTGTGGGTCCGGGTTGCCCGCACGGTTCCTGGCCTTCCTTGACAAGATCCCGGTATCATCGCTCTGCGTGAAGCAAGCAGAGATTCCTCCACCGGTTGTGGAAGAGAGGCTTGTCTCCTGCTGCTCCGGAGACCGAACACGGGCAGGCAATCCGGCTTCGTTCAGAGGGAAGGGAGGGAACTAAGGGCTTTGAGACCCCCATCCTACATGGAGATAGCAAGAAGATTCCTACGATCGAGGTACCCGAGCAGGACTCCCACGGGCAAAGTGGGAGGGGCAGGATGGAGAAATAAATATTCACAGAGGAGTTTGGGTGGTCGTCGGAAACGACCTGTTGTGTACTGCCGCTTTAAGAGGCTCTCCCAGTAGGCCTCAAGAGCAAGCAGGAGAGTAGGAGGGGACTCTGTGCTTCTCAGCCTGGCTGCCTGCAGCGTGCGGGAGTGCAGGGCCTGTGAAGAATCTGCAGAACCGGGCCGGGAAAGCCCTGGGCTGCAGCTTCAGAAACAGCTTAGTCAAAAATTGTTATTCCTTATTCCAGTAGTAGCCAAGTTCCCTGCCTTCCAGTTACTGTTAATAAAGAGGCCTTCAGCAGCCAAACCCAACCGGATGTTAGTTGTTTGCACCACTACACGCAATGATCCTTCACTAGGTTTCGACTTGCACAGTTCTTTTGTCTAAACATCTTCACATAAAATCGCTCTTCCCTTCCTGGGCGACACTGTAGAAGCCCCGTGTTTACACATCTCTGCAATCCCTACAAAGTACAAACAGTCCGGTCTGCTATGTATTTCCTCAGAAATCAGGCCTGTTTCTCTCAGGCAGGAGGATGAGGTTGGAATGAGATGGTGGGATGAAGCCCCACACGTTTGACTGACGTGTCTTGAAGTTGGCCGCCTTCGGACCCCAAGCACAAGCTCTTGGAGCCAAACCCAGCGTTTGGGCTGGGCACAGTTCCTCGAGTGTGGCTGGGTGTGATTTGATACAGCCCAAAATTTATTTTGGGGTGCAGAGAGCATGCAGCCTTCCCAGTTCCTTATTCCACTTGCCTTCCCAGTGTCATTGTAGGAGCTTCCTGAGGGGACCTCCAAAAGAAGCTCCTAGGCATGCAGCCTTCCCTGGTTCCATTCTAGCACCTGGAGTGGGAACCAACTTTCAGCCTCATTTCAGACCGCAGGATGGTTAATTCCATCTCTATTCGTTGTATAAAATAAAGAAAAAAACCTGTGAGAATTCGCTGAGAAGGAAACTGAGAATTCGCTGTCCATCTCTATTCGTTGTATAAAATAAAGGAAAAAAAACGGTGAGAATTCGCGGAGAAGGAAACTGTGAGAATTCGCGGAGAAGGAAGGCTTATCTGCTTCAAAGCATTTAGAAGATATTGCCTGCTCACTTTTGGAAACTTAAAAAAAAATATGAAAAGTTGAGATTGCCCAGAAAACAAAATCTGCCCCAGAACATATTCTGTACAACATGAGCTTGCCTACTGACTGTCTGCACAGATGTGCACATGACTTCTTGCGAAGAGTGGGGTTAGGTTTAAAATGCTGGCCCAAGGCTTCACTGGTGTCTGCAGCACCTTCTGACTGCATTTCTTCTCTTCCATAATCAGGATTTCCAAACCCAAAACCTAAGCGGGTCTCCAGCATGGAGAGAGGGGAAGAAAAACAGAATCTGGATCCAGAGAACCCTCTGGAAGAGGAGATCTCAGAAGGTATTCGTTTTGATAAAGAACTGTTTTATAAAAAAGAGGAATATATCCAGCCGTTAAAACTAAAATATTTTAATTATACGGTTTTGACTTCTTTTTTGTGGGAAGAAAGGCAGAGTAAAAATGTTTTAATTAATTATGGTGAATAATTTTAATGTATCTGATAGAATGAGTTGTTGAACATATGAAACAGCCTGATAACTTGGTAGTCTAGCCATTGGCCTCTCTAGTTTAGTGTCACCGACTCTGACTGATAGTGACTCTGGGGTGAGAAGGGTCTTTCCTAACACCAGTTGCCTGATAATCTCCACTCAAAAGCTCTCTCTTTCCTTTCCTTCAGAATGGAGTCTGGACGAGGACAAAATAGCTTCTGCTGCCATCACCGTCGCCACGGCAGCAGTGGCCGCAGTGAAGACCATTATTGGGATCCAGTCTCGTATCTTCAGGAGACTGGCCATGCGGCAGAAGTTCCTGAGGCGGGAACGTGATGACTTGAATGAGCTCGAGCGGCTGGTAGAAAACACGGCCACTGCACGCCTCCGGGCTGTCATTGAATCGAGCATTGACTCTTTGAAAGCCATGTTGTGCTCCTGTCTCTTCCAGTCGCCGGCTGTCCTCGCTGGCTTGATAGATGAGCTGTACATCATGGAACGCGCTTTCTGGGTGCAGCCGGGCCGCTCGGAGTGGTGGGAGAAGGTCGTCCTGCCCCATTGGGATGACCCGCTCTGGCAGGAGAATTTCAGGATGAGCCGGCAGACTTTCATGGAGCTGTGTGCCATGCTGAGACCGGTCCTAGAGCGGCAGACCACCAACATGCGGGCCCCCATTACTGTTGAGAAGCAGCTGGCCATCGCTGTCTGGAAGCTGGCAACTCCCGATAGCTACAGGTCCGTAGCGGAGTGTTTTGGGGTCGGCCGCTCCACCGTCTCGAGGATCGTCATGGAAGTCTGCCAGGCGCTGTATGATGTTTATCACCATGTGGTCCACCTTACCCGTCCCCATGTGGTGATGAAAGGGTTTGCAGTCAAAGGATTTCCTCACTGCATCGGGGCCATCGATGCAACGCACATCCCTATCATTGCGCCCGCCCACCGAGCAACAGAGTACATCAACAGCAAAGGCTATTACTCTATGGTCCTGCAAGCCTTGGTGGACCACGAGGGCCGATTCACCGATGTGTATGCTGGGCGGTCCGGGAAGGTGCACGACGCAAGGATCTTTCGCAGCTCTCCCATTTTCCGTGCCATGAATCAAGGCACGTTTGGTCCCAGCGTCATTATGGACATGGAGGGTGAGCAAGTGAAACCAGTGATCCTCGGGGACCCCGGTTACCCTCTCCTGCCGTGGTTGATGACGCCTTACAGTGGCCACTTGGACACCAACAAGCAGCGGTTCAATGACACCCTGAACGGCTGTCGGATGGTGGTTGAATATGCTTTCGAGCGCCTCCGGGGCCGTTGGCGATGCCTGCTGTCCCGCCTAGATGTGAGGGAGCGCTACGCGCCCAGGGTCATTGTGGCCTGCTGCATATTACATAATATCTGCGAGGCCAAAGGGGAGCCCCTTCAGGAGGGGTGGGAAGAGGTAGTGAGATCAGTCTCGAGATCTTATCAGCAGCCAGAGCGACAGCCTGTGTACGTGTCAAACCCCCGTGCTCGGGAGATCAGGGATCTTTTCAGTGCATACTTGCAAAGGAGGGAGCAAGGAGACTAAAATTTGGATCTGTTTTTGTTTTCCTCCCAAAGGAAACTTTGCTTCTGGTATAAGGTGCAAAATGCCATCTCTTTTGTACAATTGTTTTTCAAAGAAACCTGTTGACTTTTTTGATGGCAGTTACTGATTTGTTGGTTTTCTGGTTTAGGCTGTTGTGATTCCATAACCCTGGCCTGATGGTCCCTGTCAAGGTCACTGAATGTTGAGTGTTTGTCTCTTTGAGACCAAACTGAGATTCTATTGGCGAATCAGACTCTGCCTAATGGTGGCCCTGCCTGAGCTGATAGATCTGGCCTTGGCATTGACGCCAGAGCTCCCCAGGCAGTTTGGCGTAGTGGTTAAGGTGGACTCTAAATCTGGAGAACCGGGTTTGATTTCCCACTCCCCCACATGATGCCAGCTGGGTGACCTTGGGCCAGTCACAGTTCTTTCAGAGCCATTCTCTCAAGAGTAGTTTCTGTCAGAGCTCTCTCAGTCCCACCTACCTAACAAGTGTGTCTGTTGTGGGGAGGGGAAGGGAAGGAGATTGTAAGCCACTCTTGAGACTCCAAGAAGGGTGGGGTATAAATCCAACCCTTCTTCTTCTCTTGGAGTTGAGCTATCTAGAGTAGCTCAAGATTCAGTGACCATCATTGGGCCACTCTCCACTGATGTCACACTCAATGTATATAGCAGGTCACATCCTGGATCTGATGGTCTGGACAGGTGAGGATAACAATGATCTGGGAGTGGAGAAGGGAGAGGCCCTTTTTGTACTCCATAGTGGCAGACAAATCACTGTCTGGTTCGATTTAGGTTTAAGAAAGCACAGAGACCTTGCAGGGAGGGTGACTCACTTACAATGCTCTGCTGTCAAAGAAAAGGTGGATCCAAAGGGATCCTAACTACTTGGGTAGGCTTTCCACCTGAGATCCAGTGTGGCATCATAGTTAGCATGCTGGATCTAGGAGACCCAGGTTCAAAGCGGAAAGTTGGTGGGGGACCTTGATCCACTCACACGCTCTCCGCCTAGCCTTCCTCACAGGATTGTGGTGTAAGGATAGAGGATGGGAGAAAAGTGTTGTGTCAGTGTTTAAATGAGCAGATGACCCAGAAGCATGCTGCTGATCTAGTGGCCCTCTGGAAATGGGTGCCTCATAAGGAATGGATATAATTGCTCCCCAGCTGCCTTCTCACAGGTCATCCAAGTCTTCCAGTGCCCAGGTTTTCAGTGGGGAAATGGTTGGGGCGATAGGGCAGGAAGAAACTGTGATTTTACGCCATCGTTTAGCTCTACCGTTGGTTATATTTACTAATTATTATGTATTTTATTGTATTTATGAATTATAATGTTTTAGATTGGTTAATGTTTTTATTAACGATGTTACCCGCCCTGAGCCTGGTTTCTGGAGAGAGCAGGCTATAAATCCAATAAATGTAATAAAAATGAATTGAGTTGAATCTGACCAAACACACACAGAAGAGCATGAAGAAAATGCCACCAACTTCATTCATTGCTGACCAGTGAGGTTGTCCTTAATTGTACAAGGCTTGTTGCCTCTTTGCCGCCTGAAAGCAGAAGTGGGGGGGGGGGCAAGGGGGGGGAGATGTGATCAGTGTGCCAAATACCTCATAGATAAAACCGCTCACATCCAATCCAACTTGGAGACTGTGTTATTTACAGATATTCTGAATGTCCTTGAGGCTCCCATTGTTCAGGGTTCTGCCGGATGTATTCCACTGGGTGCAACCTGAAAATGTGGCTTCAGAGTGTTAAGGCCCACCAGATGCTTATGGGACCTTTGCCCCCAAGGTTAATGTTAGGTATCCTTAATTTTAAAGTAAATCAGCAGAGTATTAAAGAGGCAGAGTCCGTGGTGTGTTTAAAAGATAAAAGTTTACTACAACCTAGCATGGGAAAGGGTACACAGGATGTAAAATAACAAAGAGCTAATATTCCTACATCCTTACAGCTAGACTGAACATGGCAGAAGAGAGGTTCTCCTGACTTGGTCAGAAAAAGAAACACAAGAGGGGAAGAGAAGCCATAAAATGCTAATACTTGGCAATTTGGTCTCCAATCAGAACAACAAACTAGATATGAACTTCCCAGGCTTTCTGTCTAAAACAGATTGGTCACAAACAAACATGTGATTTAACAAACATCATTAACCCAGTAAATACTGAAATGTGTTTTAACTTGTAACACCCAACAGTTAATATGACCTGTAAGGGGAGGGTTATCTCAGTTGAGGACAAGAATAATCAATGCATCTCTGGCTGAAGAGGCCGTTCCCCCAGCTCTCGAAGAAGCAGTCGTCAACTGTGGTGGGGGTAGCCAGTGTCATTAGATACGTTACCTATGAATAATTACAGGGTAGGTCATTAGTAAAGGTGAGCATCTGGAGGAGAATGATATAGTAGAAGGTAAAGTGGAGAATGCCCAGAAAGAAGTGAGGGGTGAGAGGGAAGCAGGCAGGAAGGAGAGTAGCAGGTACATGGGCTAGAATCTCTAGTTGCCTAAAAGATAGTTTGATGTTCAAAAGAACTGGGTTCTGAAAGTAGCGTTTCTCTAGATTCCACAGGTTTTAATGTTTTGCTGAACTAGCCTCAGCAGAGGGAGACAAGTCCTCGTTTTCTTTTTCTTTCAGCCTTTGGTGTTTATTGTATTATTTTAATAATTTAATTTCTATCCCGCCTTCCCCATGAACAGGTTCAGGGTAGGTTACAACATGAAAATTATAACAGTGATCACATTAGAATCCTAAAAACATCAGTTAAAAACACAGAAAACAATAAAGATGGCATTCTGACAGCGTGCGCTATCCCAGTTCTGTTTCAGATATTATTGATATTCAGATATAGCCGGATCCAAGGATGTCACCATGGCTGTTTGGTGCTCCTCTCCCCAGAATAATCCCTCTGGCGAGGGAGGAATGAGAGATGTAATGACAGAGATTATGCCGATGGATTGATAAAAAGGGGGAGGAGATGGGAGTCAAACCCACCCTATAATGCCCCTGGTATCAAGTTGCCAACTGGCCAGGGGGGAAATAGAGAATGTAGTCTGTTCCTGTGCCTCTTGGTCTGCAGAAATCAACAGGTTGGATCCAGACTAACAGAACAGAACTTTCTCCCTTCACCTCAGCCCCTTGAGACAGCCTATTGATGTCCTTCAAATGCTGCTCTTGGAGGACAGGGGGGACCTTCAGGAGTGGCATGAGGGACAAAATGGAGGGTCTATAGCAGAAAGGGGGAATTGGTGAAAAATTACATTTCCCCTTCAGTTAGCAGAAATTATCTGGATACAGAGGGATTACCAGTATTCACTGGCTAATATCTGCTCAATCAACCACAGAGGCTGGCTAAAAACCTGGCAATCCTTACCCCTCAGCTATAATTCTCTGTACTGAAACCAGCAGCATAAGTGGGTCTTTCTGTGACTGCCTGAAGGCCACCAAGAAAGCTTCATGGCTGAGTAAAGATTTGAACACAGGCCCAGCCCTGTTCTGACTGCTATCCCACCCTGTATTTGAGGTAAACAAGCTGGCAAGGATCTGGTTTCTCCACAGATTGAGGACAACAGTAAAAGGAGATAATTTCAGGTTGGTATCCACGTTGGTCTGCAGTAGAAGAGCAAGATTCAAGTTCAGAAGCACCTTACAAACCAACCTCTAGGCCTTGCGATCAGAAAGCTCTGCTCTGCAACAGCAGAGACCTGGAGCCTTTTTTGGATCCTGCAGGCACCTTTAGAATTCCTTTTCTTGGTCCAGTATTCACTTATTGGTTATCTTATTGTAATATGTATTATTGTTCCGTTTACCTCAATACTGTTTGACCTCTGAAGAAGGCCACAATAGGGCAGAAACGCCTCAGGTCATGTGTGTTTAGGCCACGAACTTTTTGATGAGGCGTTCATTGGGCCCTTATATGTTTTTAACTGCCTTTCTATTAAATACATGTATTTTTGTATAAGTTTCAACTAGGTTTTTAATATTGGCCCTTTTATCAGACCTTTAGAATTCTGACATACGTGGGTGGGTGCAGCCACAAAGTGGCTGCCAGAGGAGGTTAAGCCAACAACAAAATGAATGCCACGGAAGGGAGAGCCAACCACACAACGTCAGGGAGTGAGCTAGCACCTTAGAGACCAGCAAGATTTTCAGGGTATGTGTTTTTGAGAGTCAAAGCTCCCCCTTCACCAGACTTTTGAAAGCTCATACCCTGGGAATCTTGCTGGTCTCTTAAGGGTGCTACTGTCACTTGAATTTAGCTGTTCTGCTGCAGGCCAACTCTATGTTCAGGGAATGAAGTTACGCATAACTCTAATAGTAATTCTTCAGCATTTAACACAAAAGCTCTTAACACAAAGCCTTTTAAAATGAATGTATCATTTGAAAGTATTTTCTGGCATATACACAGCTTATCTTCAGTCACACAGTGAAGATCTTTGTGTTGTGGTGGCAGCTGCTGCCAAAGCAATTCTAAAAAATCTGTATACGGTTTAGCCAGTCAGAAGCCCTGTTGGGCAAAAGCCCCACTGGCACCACTTGTGTTCTAAACACTTGGTGGGCAGCAGGAAAAGTATTGGAGGACACCCTGGCGCCCATGGGGAACCCTGGCCTAGAGGAATCTGGGTTTATCCAGATGACAAGGGAAGGCAGGTGGGCTTTTGTTTTTTACACTGGTACCAGCAATCATCATCCCATTTTCCTACCAGCTGCTTTTGCCAAACAGATCTTATCTTTATGCTGCAGACGTTGGGGGTCCAAGTGAATGCGAAGTGTCATTGCGTATGGAATTAAGCCTGGAAGCCAGACTACCTGTGCCGATCACAGCAGGAGGGGCATCGCCTCAAGTAGCAAGTGTGAATCTAAGTATGGGAAACCATTTTCATTAACCCAACTCTAGTTAGACCTGAGAGTATGGACGAGAAACTTCAAAAATCTCCACTCTGCCATAGACAGTTTCAATGTCTCTGTCTCAGACTAATTTCACAAAATGGAAGCTAGGATAGCGATGAACCAAGCACACTGTCCAGGGCTGCTGGAAAGGGTGGCATAAGCATTTAGCAGATGGAGTGAGTCTTACTGTGATTTTCTGAGGAACACCATCAGTGAAACCCTAGGGTGTGGGTGGAAAAATACTGGTGGAAGCTATGCCTATTTCTGCTCAGCAAGCTGTGTTGTTCTTGCCCTTCCCATTGCAGAGGCTGAGAAGGGCCACCTATGCTGGCTGTTTTTGGTGGAGCACTAAAGGACAGCACACCACCATGTAATCTGAATCTTTCTCATGGGTGGGTGAAGGTAGTTTTGGCTGGGGGCAGTGCATGACTGCCAGGTATTAAAGAAGCATGTTAAACTAGCTAAGAGGCCAGTCAACTGCTGTCCTTTTGTCCCGACATTCATCAACCAATTACTAATTTAAAAAATCTACTTCCTAATGACCAGAACTCAATTACACCACCACCATTTTTTGGAAACTTTGGGATAAATTCCACAAACATCTTGGGCTTCGGACACCAAAACGCTTCACAGGGACAACAGTTCTTTTTTAGACTCGGGTGGGTGGCTCTGAAAAGAGCCTTTGGGTCTTGGTAGAATCTGCCCCAGGCAGGGCTAGTGTGCAAGTCTTCCTTCACTAAACGGCCACCGGGGCGGCAGACGGCTTGATCGCCACCTTAGACGACTTGGTGGACTTGCTCGCCCCGCCGCCTCCCTGCTTGGTGCCCGCGCCCCCGTGCAGCACTTCCGTCTTCTTGGGCAACAGGACGGCGTGGATGTTGGGCAGCACTCCGCCCTGCGCGATGGTCACGCCGCCCAGCAACTTGTTCAGCTCCTCGTCGTTGCGCACGGCCAGCTGCAAGTGGCGCGGGATGATGCGGCTCTTCTTGTTGTCCCGGGCCGCGTTGCCCGCCAACTCCAGGATCTCGGCCGTCAAGTATTCCAGCACGGCGGCCATGTACACCGGCGCCCCGCCGCCGATGCGCTCGGCATAATTGCCCTTCCGGAGCAGCCGATGCACTCGGCCCACGGGGAACTGCAGTCCGGCCCTCGAAGACCGCGACTTCGCCTTCGCACGTGCCTTCCCGCCAGTTTTCCCGCGCCCAGACATCTCTCTCGGTCTCTTCTTGTAAATGAAGCAATAAAGGGTAAAAAGTGGCGAGCTTGAAGTTCTTTTATACGTTTTTCAGACACTTTGGCTCACCGCGATTGGTCAAAAGAGGACAGACCAATAGGGAGAAGGATTCTGTTTCAACCAATAGGACGACGGTATTTGCTGCTTATGCAAAAAAAAAAAAAGCCTCGTGTCTTTCTGCTCTCATTTCAAAGACCTTTGGAGTTCCGTTTGACAGCAAACGGGGTATATCTTGAACGTTTTGCCCAACCCCCGACTACCCACACCCGTTATTTGTTTTAGTAAATATTGCCGCAGTATGGAAGAGCTGAAGGTCCTGCAGTAAATTTGCATGCATGTCGAGGTGACAAACCTCTCCAGTTTTTTCTAGACGCATATTCTTTCGCTTAAGTAACAGAAGGTGCGAAAAGGGCAGAGGGGCGGGGCTTGAGGGCGCCGTCTTTGCCCTGGATATGAAGAATGAAAGCTCGGGTAATTGCCCTTCACAACAGCATTCCCCCCCCCCCCCACCCCTCCCCGAAAGCGTAACTCAAAGGAACTCTGGTTTAGGAAAGTCGTACAAGAGGAACCATGTCTGGATGAAGCAACTCGCAGAATTATTTCATATGCAGAGACACCATACGTTTCCCTGTTGTACTGCTGTTTCCTCGCATTATTTATAGTAATTTCTTGCCTTAACTTGTCATCGAGTCTTGATGAAAACAGAACCAGGGAGTTTACACGGCACGGTCTTACCTGATAGAAAACCGAAAGAGTTTCTCGGTGCACCCCGCCTCCTTCAGTCCTTTGTAGCCAATCGTCTTCAACTTTACCGCATGATATTCAAATTAGGCAATTTAAATCCCGCTCCTTCCCTTTGTCCGTCGTGACTGGTTGATAAGGTTGTGCATAAACGAATCTTGTTAGTCGCCAAGTCTCGTGGCTTCTTGTGGCTTGGTGACAGACTGGTTAGTCTTTTTAACTGCTGTTCGTTTAGATTTTCCTGGCTGTATCAATACGTCTCTTATGAGCAGTGTTCCCTCTAAGCTGAGTTAGTGTGAGCTAGCTCACAGTTTTTTAGCCTCCGGCTCACACATTTTTGCCTTAGCTCAGGAAGGAGGGCTCCAGAGCAGACTAATTTATGCAGTAGCCAAATTGCTCGCTCACAACTTGAATGCCAGGAGCTCACAGAGAATTTTTGCTCACAAGACTCCGCAGCTTAGAGGGAACATTGCTTATGAGTAAGCCATGTTTAATGTTGGTGTTCCTTATGTGCGAGAAGATATGCAGGCTCATATTGGAATGCACATCTAAAACTGAAGAGAATAATTCGGGGAGTTAAGAAGTGTGATGTAAACAGGGTGCCAGATATTATCATGGGTAAGGAAAACATATGTAGATGAACAATTGTTCATGGCCCTTGACCTGTCTCTCCCTTGCTGACAAGTGCGACTGTATTAGAAAGTGGGGGGGGGGGAGTGCTCCCGTTTGTGCATAGTCTGTAGTGGGTTGCAGTAGCTCAAAAGGCAAAATCAAAAGCATAAATAAATAGTGTTAAAGGGGATTTTGAAAACTAAAGGTGAACTGGATGAGATGTTGGGACCTCTTTGAGTGGATTTCATGTTAACTAGTTATGAGAAGCAGCTATTGGAGCTACTGAGATAGGGGTTAGGGTAGGATTTCCTTTCCCCCTATATTAGTTTCACAGTCTTAAACAACAAACCCCCCCATTTTGGCTCAAAGGGGAAATGCAGAGAAACTGAACAAGGAATCTTTCTATTCTCTTTAAGTTTCTGTTAAAGGTACAGATCAAGATGGGTAGCCCTGTAGTAACAGAAAATAGCAAGAGTCCAGTAGCACCTTAAAGACTAACAAAATTTGTGGCAGGGGGGGTTTGAGCTTTCCTGAGTCATCGCTTACTTACAGTCAGAATGTGAGTCCAGCTGTCCTGTCTATCTGTCTCTGCCTGGTGTCTGGGCTATAAAAGAATGGCAGCTATTGCACAGCAGAGTCCCCCCCCCCCCCCCAGCTTTAAAAAGGGTGGTGGTGGAAGTATGGTTGCTAAGAGCTTAAGCTGCACACTGGAAATTCCTGGTACAAATCTTGCTCACTCCTGAAGTAAACAGTCTTCTGTCTTTTAGCCCCTACCTGCCTCCACATGGCTAAAAAGGATAATAGCTTACTGTGCAGGGCTGCAAAACTTACTGAGACGTGCTCAAGCACTTATGAAAAGTACTGTACAAATATCTTGTATTATGGCACCCATTAGGCTGTTTCAGGCATGCAAATGAAGTTCTCCAAGTATACTCCAGGGAACTTTGAATTTCATTTAAAGTTATTTGGGGATGCCTCCAAAGTAAGGTAATGGCAAAGGAGCTTCCTGGAAGATACTTTCCTCATCTTCAGTCTCTCCTTGCAATATGCAAGTTGCTTTGACACTGGTTATGCTCTAGGAGCGTCTTGGATTTCTCATGATAAATGAATTCAGAGCAGTGCAAAGTGCATGGCACTCCAAAGGACATATGGGATGCAGAGCTGTCTCCTCCCCTCCCCACTCTGCAAACACTCAAGCACCAACAAAAAACCTACTTGCTGCCTCGGTGTGCTTTTAAAATGTGGGCGGTACCCTTCTTCCTTCCAAACTTTCTTGTTAAAGGACATGGGAAGGTTCTGAAAAAATCCCAAACAGCAGCTGAACCCTGACCATGAGTGAGAACTGTGAGATGGGCATGAGAGCATTTCTCCCAACACCAGAATCCTCAGTGGACAAGTCAGTGTCAAGATATTGGGGGGGGGGGGGGTAATCACTAGATAATCTACATCTGTACTTGAATGACTCTGTGACTGTTGCATCTTGCAGAAGAGCATCAAAGCTCGCTTGATAGCTGTCAAATGGCTAAAACAAACAAGACTTCTCAAACTAGCAAGCCACAGAAAGAGACTCTTCACCGATTGGCTCATAAGCATGCTACTGGACTTGTAGCAGGGCAGGAGAAGCTGCTTGTCCCCGTCCATCTGAAAGTACCTGTATCACAGCTAATCCGCAGGTCTCAGAATGCCCCTCGGATGGCTCTTGACCCAACTGCCTTTTCTGAGTTTCACCAAGAAAATGGCACACAGCTTTGAAAAGAAACTCCATTTCCAGACTCCTGTTCTCCTGGCACTGAGGGAAGCCAGCTAGTTTATCAGCTGGAATTACTGGAGGACTGGAGCATGTGTGCTATTCATGCAAAGAGAGTCGCTGTCACCTCCAGTGATATTCGCCTCACCAGGTGCTTGTGGGGTGGGATGTTCCCAAGGCCAAGGGTTGTCCCTGCCTGGCAGCATTTTGCCTTGAATCAAATAGTGCCTGTGTGAGAAAAGTGTCAGCACTCAGAAAATCCAATGCTTGAAACTTTGGTTTTGACTAAATGACTAAAGGCAGCTGGCAATGGCTTGGGGTTGAGTTGAGAATGTGTGGATGAATGCTTTAACATGGGTTATATTGTGGCTGCTCTGTGGTAACAACCAGGGTTGTCACAGGAAGTGTAAAATTTTGGTGGTTGTTCCTTACAGTTCTATCCAAATAAAACTGAGCTGCGCAATCAAAAAATGTCACTATTTGCCCATTATCAGTTATGGCAGAAATAGGCAAGGTTTTGAAGTACATGAAATTTGAGACATGGCCGGAGCTGATTAACTTTACAACTTGTTGTTTCATTTGTTTCTTCCCTGATAAATATTCTGCCTCTTAATAGAGGCTTAATGGTAGAAATGGGCAGCTGAGGATTTTCATGGCATGGAGCTAAAGAACATCCTATTAGTTTCTAGTAACAGGAGAAGAGCATAAGGCTTTTCTGGGGGCATACCAGGAGAGGCAGTTCCGAAGGTACGTGGGTCCCAGGCTGTTAAGGGCCTTAAAGGTTAATACTTGCTGCTTCTGAATGCTTTATAGGGCCCCTGGGTGGATTAGCAGTAATGCAAGACCTGCTCTTTTATCTTAATACTTCTCCCCATTAGTAATATTTTACCACCTGCCCACACCTCAAACACCATTCCAGCTATCTTCAACCAGCTGCCTCATTAGCCTACTTCACTTCAGTGTCAGATATGCAGTCCAGTACAAGGTTATGAACAGGCTTAAGCCCCAACAAACTTTCAGCCTTCAATCAGATCAGGATACATTCTCCCATTCTCTCCCATCCCCCACTGTTTTCATTACAACTCAGCCACAAGGTTAAGGAAGGGGATTGCTATAAATAATGCATTGAAATAGCAGTACAAGGAGACAAATGTCCTCTATGTACAGTGAAGAATTCATCCCTGAGGCTTCTCTGAGAATGTGTTTGAATTATGCTTTCCTAAGACTAGCAATAAAAGTGTTGCATGGGCCCAGTGAAATAAATGCTATATACCGTGTTTCCCCAAAAATAAGACACTGTCTTATATTTATCTTTTCTCAAGAAGACACACTAGGGCTTATACCACAAATGCTTAGAAATCCTGCTAGGGCTTATTTTTGGGGTAGGTTTTATTTTCGGGGAAACAGGGTATGTATAGTGTAGTCTGGATAGCTGGAGAGATGTTCAGACCGCTGGGCAGCTCTTAAATCTCCAGAGCTAGTTTTTCTTTTCCTGGTGAGACTTCGATGCCTTTCAACACCTGCACTTCAGGCAACATTTCGACAGGTACAGCTTTCCCTGGAGGCATTTCCGTGTTAGGAAAAATTACTAATTTTCTACCTGCTTTCAGCGGAGAAAGATTAATCTGAAGGTGCCCGGAGACCTCCGTGCCTGACTCTGAGCAAGGATGCAGGTGGGGGGGGGGGGTGTCCGTAATATTTTCCGCTGCCCTCTATATGTCCTTTGTCCTTCCACCTTTAGGTTTGCCTAATTTGAATATCACACAGTGAAAAGGCGGACGATTGGCTTGCAATGGACTGAAGGAGGCGCGGTACTTCCAGAAATTCTTTCAGTTTTCAATCAGGTTAGAAATCCAGTGGGTGCTCTTCCCCCCTCCTTCCCCCCCCCCGGTTTTCCTCACGACTCGGTGATAAACAATGCGGCGAAACAGGAGTACGAGAGACGTGTGTGGCATCTATGTATATGGAATAATTCAGCCGAGTTTCTTCACCCCCGGCTTTCCTGAACGGGAATTCCTTTGAGTTATGCTTTCCAGAGGCTCACAGTGTAAACATTATATTGGTCCTATGCAAATGTTTTATTAACCACGCTCTGGTTAACTGGAGAGATTTTCGGACTGCTGGACAGCTCTCGAGCATTAGAATAGCTGTCCCCTTCCCGCCGCCGCCTTTTACGTAAATACCCTGCACCGCGGCAAAATAGTTGTAATTCCAGATACTCAAGAGGGGGGGGGGCGCTGCGGTGGAATAACCCTTTTAAGAACAAAAGGACGGAGGATATCGGTGAAAGCCTTCACATCACATCACATCACAATGCGGAGCCATGGCTAGAAGCGGAAATGGGAGAGACAACACTGACTGACCGCGCGTTCATTCGCCACCTCCAGGGGCCAGACTGGTGCCCTCAAGCCCCGCCCCTCTGCCCTTTCCGCGCCTTGAGCATAAGGAATATATGTTTTTAAAAAATACGAGAGAGGTTTGTCACTTCAACATGCGTGCAAATCGCGGCAGGCCCATCAGCTCTTCCATACTGCGGCAAGGTTAGTTAAAACAAATCAAGGGGGTGGGTAGCCGGGGAAATGGAGCAAACGTTCAAGATACATCCCGTTTTCTGTCACGAAGAAACACGTCCCCAAATTTCCTTGAAACGAAAGAAGAAAAACACGCGCTCCTCTCCCAGCGTTTAGCGAATGCTGTCGTCCTATTGGTTAAAGCAGGATCGTTCTCCCGATTGGTCCGTACATTTGACCAATCGCGGTAAGCCAAAGTCTCCCGAGAAATGTATAAAAGAGCTCGAGGGGCCCGCATTCTCTACTACTTTTTGCTTGGACTGCAAGAAGATCTAGAAAGAGATGTCTGGGCGCGGGAAAACTGGCGGGAAGGCACGTGCAAAGGCGAAGTCGCGATCTTCGAGGGCCGGATTGCAGTTCCCCGTGGGCCGCGTGCACCGGCTGCTCCGGAAGGGCAATTACGCCGAGCGCATCGGCGGCGGGGCGCCGGTGTACATGGCCGCCGTGCTGGAATACTTGACGGCCGAGATCCTGGAGTTGGCGGGCAACGCGGCCCGGGACAACAAGAAGAGCCGCATCATCCCGCGCCACTTGCAGCTGGCCGTGCGCAACGACGAGGAGCTGAACAAGTTGCTGGGCGGCGTGACCATCGCGCAGGGCGGAGTGCTGCCCAACATCCACGCCGTCCTGTTGCCCAAGAAGACGGAAGTGCTGCACGGGGGCGCGGGCACCAAGCAGGGAGGCGGCGGGGCGAGCAAGTCCACCAAGTCGTCTAAGGTGGCGATCAAGCCGTCTGCCGCCCCGGTGGCCGTTCAGTGAAGGAAGATTTACACACTAGCCCTGCCTGGGGCAGATTCTACCAAGACCCAAAGGCTCTTTTCAGAGCCACCCACCTGAGTCTAAAAAAGAACTGTTGTCCCTGTGAAGCGTTTTGGTGTCCAAAACCCAAGATGTTCCTGAAAGAATTTCTCAAGGTTCCCAAAAAACCTTGGGGATCTTGAGAAAAAACCATGCTGTTTTTTAAGAAATACCCCACAACCAGACACCCTGGCCAAAGTTTCTTGCACCTATAGGAAAGATGTGTCCTACACAAATGGGTCTTTTGCTGTCCTGTGGTGCCCCACCAAAAACAATCATAAGTTGCAACTGCATCTCCCATATTACAACATCTTAGGGTTTAAAGGCTGGCACCCCCCAATATTAGTTTCAGAAAAGGAAGCCATTTGCTATATGAGGGGGGTGAATATTCAAGATTGTGATAACTGGTAACTCGGCACTTAGGTTGTTTGTGACAGTGGCCAATTATCCCCTTTCTGGTGCTCTACCATATTACTTTTTCTGTCTGACTTCACCGCAAATGTGTAGAGCTTATCTGTTGGCCCGTCTTAATGTTCTCCCCTCTGCTATTCTTGAGGGGAGATATAAGCAAATTCCTTATTCAATCAGGTTCTGTGGATGTAATAGAAGTGAAATAGAAACTGTTGAGCACGTACTCTTACACTGTAAATTGTTAAATGACATTCGAGTGGAGTGTATAGAAGCCCCCCTTAGGTTGGTAGCAGGCCAATCGGATAGAATCAAGGTACAATTTCTCCTTGCTTCACGAGATCTGGAGATCATTGAACTGACCGCTAAGTTTCTCCATTGTTTTATAAAACGGAAGAGTAACCCTGATCATATTAATGATTCTTAATTTATAAGTTTAAAAACTTAAGTTTAAAAGTTTGGAATGCCAGTTTATTTTATGATTCAGGCATCTTTTGTATGGTCAAATCTAACTTGTGACAACTTGAGTTAGGCCTGACATAGCCACGACTATCTATTTTATAATTTCTTTTGGATTGTATTATTGGGAAACGCTTTTAATATTGTATGCCAATAAAAGGTATTTGAATTGAATTGACAGTGGCCAATTAGCTGTCCTGCAAGGTCATCCACAGGGCTCACTTATAATAGTAATTGGATGACCAGTACCTCTGAACATGTGGACTTCAGTCTGGGTGACTGTAGCAAACAGAATTTGATAGCCAAATGAATCCTCCATAAATATGTTGTTTTCAGAATCCAGCTGTCATGGTGGCTGCAACTGACCTAACGCTTGGGCAAAGGGACTGGACAAGAACAATGACAGACCTGGAGCACAAGAGACATTTGGCCCTGCAGCTCTTGCCAATTACATTCTAAGGGGACATTCAGCTTTGTAAACAGTGTTTGTAGCCCTCTATTCATAATGCCTTTAGGTTTAGCCATCTTCTCTCTCCAAGCTAAATTACCTGCTTTCTTTTTATCTTAGCCCACTGGCTCTCAAACATCTTCAAGTGAGACCAGCTTCTAAACCTTTTCATTTGAGAACAGGGCTGTCTACATCCAAGTAGGATCTGGAGACCTCCCAGCATTATAACTGATCTCCAGAGACTAGAGATGGGTTGCCCTGCAGGAAGTGGCTGCTTTGGAGGGTGGATGATGTCACCTCTCTGCTGAGCACCCTCCCCTCCTGAAACTTCAGGCTCAACCCCCCCAAATCTCCAGGTATGTCTCTATCCTATTTAGAACCCATCAGTACAGTGCCTTGGGTTGTCAGCAGTGTGGGCTCAGAAGGCACTAGTGTGAAGGCTGTGCCAATTCCTTCCTGGACTACTGGTGGCTAGGAGGGAGTAAAAGGCCTGGGAATGGGGAGGGGTGCTAAGCAAAAGAGGGGCAAACATAATCGTTGCCCTCTTTCCCCTCCCATTGCTGGGAGGAGAGGGGCTCAGAGCCTCCTCTCCAGACTCGAGTATGAGCCTCACAACTCACCTGTGAGAGATGGTGGGTCTGCGATCCTCCTGTTCTGCCAAATCACCCTGTATGAACTGCAGAGACACAAAGCTGTTTTGGCTTGGCTAAGAACTGGCTAAAACAGGAAGTCCCCATGAATGCACGCACCTTGCTGGGTTCCCTCCACTGCCAAATGTGCACTTGCTTAAATGTCTGTTTCTTTCTTCTTCTTGCCCATGCTTCCTGCAGACTCAACCATTGGATCTGTATCATCAGGCAAACCTCCTTTTCTGGGAGAAATGCCCTGGAGACTCCGGTTGGTGGACTGTCCTTAAAGCTATTGGGGCCTGGTGGGCGTTAGACAGCTGCTGATGTCATTGGGAGCCACAAGATCAAGAGCAGACTGGAATGTGGCCTAGATGCCATTGAAGTAACTAGCTAGACTTTGTGGGAGGGAGACAGCGGAGGTCTGCTCTCTGCATTCCATCACAAAGCTTTTACCTTGATCCCTGCTGTTCCAAACTGGTGTGTACATCCTGGAAATATTTATTGGAGAATCCCGGTGTGGTGTGGTGTGGTGTGGTGTGGTGTGGTGGACTAAGAAGACCTGGGAGACCCAGGTTCAAATCCTCTCTCTGC